ACACACACACAGCACGTACCAAATCCCAGGGCGGGCAGAATACAGCAGGAACCCGAGCACAGGTGCTGGCCTCCTGCAGGTCTGCTCCCATCCTTTACCAGCCAAGCCTGATGCTGGCGAGGACAGCCTCATCTGCGGCTGATCTACATGGCTTCTGTGGATCTCTGGCCCAGAGCATCTATCTGCTCAATGACAGCCACCACAGTAAGCTCTCTATGGACGGGGAGTGAGCTCCTCTAGTGACCCGCTGACCTCATTCAGTAAAAGACAAAGCCTGTGCTCACTCACGGCTCATACCCACTGTGGCACCTTCCTCCATGCTCTGCTCAGCACAAGGTCTACCTCAGGGCCTTTGTTCTGCGTTCTATGTGCAAAGACAGCTTTCTCTTTACCTTGTGAAAAGTTGGTAAATTTGTTCAACTCTCCACTATTACCTATCAGTTTAATCCCTTCTGTCTTTCTCCATAGCTTTTAATCATGTCAGAGAATAATGAAAGTATTATTTATTACTTTTTTTGTCACTCATGGGGCTTGAACTCAGAGCCTGGGCACTGCTCACACCTTCAGCCACAATGCCACTTATGGTTGTCTGGTGGTTAACGGGAGATGAACCTCAAAGACTTGGCTGGCTTTGAACCACGATCCTCAGATCTCAGCCTTCTGAGTAGCTAGGATTACAGGTGTGAGCCACCAGCACCCAGCTATGAACATACTTTATGCCTTGAATCCTCTTGTGTTTCTCCTCAGGATAAGCGGGGGACAGAGGTCCCCCCCCCCATTTGTTGTAATCATGACTGTATCCACAACACTTTGAGTAGAACCTGCAAAGCAGACACTCCAGTATTTACTTCCAACAGATGAAAGGAACATCCCTTGGGGTATTATTCTGATTATTCCATGTGGAAGTCTAGTAGCCTAAACTGTTCATGTGCTTAAAAGGCTTCGCCATGACCTCTATAGGTTTTCTGTAGGTCTTTCATTAGCATCAGGAATCAACACCTCCCTTTAGATAATTTTGTATTCTTCCCTCATGGTCTGTTCTGTTATTAAAAAATAAGTATGTAAAAACATAAGAATGTAAAACCACAAGAGTGCGTCCTAAGTTGCTGGATGAAACATATCCATCCTCTTTGCTCACAGTGAGCCCCAATTCTCTTCTTTATACTTCAGAGCCACTAGGTCTGTGCCGCAGAGGCCGCCCAGACCCAGGGAGCAGGCAGTAAGGAAAGCCAGCCTGCACCGCCTCAGTCCCTGCACAGCCATGGTCCCCTGCCAACTCCAACACCGGACAGCCTGAGTGCCACTGAGGAGAATGGGCTATAAAAGGTATTCTAGATATGGAAGCTGGGTAGAATAATTGAGAGTTCTCCCTACCCTTAATTAATCAGTATAAGGTCAGACTATCTAGCAGTATGGAACGGGAGCCTGACCTATACATCAGCATGGTTCAGTCCGTGGATGGGAGACCACAGAACCACCTCAGCCCTTCAAGTCACAACATGAACTTCCCACCCAGGCTCCAGCTGCTTCACCGAGACACAACGTTACAATCCCATTAAGCTCGCGCAATTGGCTACTGGAACTGTTTTATGCCCGATTACTCATACGTTGTGGTTTAATGAACACGTTTTTGTGCATAGAGTATCAACTGAAACCTATTTCCACTATCAAGTAGAGTATTTTCACAGCTGGTAAGGCTGTGGGAGCGGTGGATCAATGCTCTCTAAAATCTGTCATTAAACAGGACCTAGAGACAACCTGGGTATTATCTCTGAGAGATTCGTGTAGACCAATCCCAGTGCCACCTCTGACCAGCTGTTTCTCAGTTGTGGCCGTGTATAAGGATGCTGGTCAATAGCCATGACACACGAGGATTTGCAGAGAAACTTGAAATGCCAGATCATAAGTCTCTGTAATTGAGTGTGCCAATTCATGTATCAGCTAAAGATCGAAGTAGGCTGCTCAAGTGATGGCATGTGAGAAGCAGAAACTTGAGTACCTGGGGAAAGGGCTTTCTTTATTCAAGCCTCGGTTTGGTGACATCAGTTTCTGATCAACAGATCCATTACACAGACCCAGCCACACATACCATACTGTAGGGGTCCTGCAGCACTGTAAACCAACCGTAGCTGTGCATCTGTCCTGCCAGTACCCGCAAGGACTCAAACCCCAATGCTAAGTGCCTTCCTCACACGGAAGGCAGCCCTGTCAGCTCACGGACGTGTCTATTTTTCTCAGTAAACCTTAATTCATGCCACTTTCACCACATTGTGTCCCGCCTGAATCCTTGCTGCATGCATGGACAAAGGAGGAAAGCTGTGTGGACCTTCAGATCAAAGTGGAATATTGTCTGAATACTTTGTGTTCCTTTTAATATTTTGACACACCTATCTTGGCTGATGTATACAATCTATACATGTATTATTACACAATAGTATAAGAGTAGAGATCTTATTAACCCCAAGTCTTTTTTTCTCAGAATCTTATTTCTTAAAATGAAGGCTAGGTAATGGTAATATATGCCTGTAACCCCAGCTTCCCAGCTACTCAGGAAACACAGGCAGGAGGCAAGCCTGGATAAGGACAATAAAGCACTCTTAGTCTCAAAATTAAAACTAAAAAACAAAAACAAAAAGTTAAAAAAGGGCTTGAGACAAGGCTCAAGTGGTAGAGCACCTGCATAGCAAACTCAAGGCCCTGGATTCAAACTCCAGTATTTGAGGGGGGAAAAAAAGACTTTGACAGGTAGAGATGTGTTTCCAAAATAACAAGTTATTAAGTAAGATACTATACAGTACTTCTGATGAAGAAACTTTATCACATATTGTTACTTTATTACTTTTTTGGATAAACTTTAGAGAATGTGGCATCGGGGATCTAACAATTACAAGGCGTACTAACTCACCGATATTTTTCCTAGACACAATTTGAGAGATAGCATGGAGATATGTAAGTTATTTGGGAAAGCGTAATGTGCTGGAGATCAGAAAGGAGGGCTCAACAGAGAAGAAAAGGCTATAATTTTACTGACATTCGACTTGCTGTCATCTGTAAAGGCAAATGTCCTTATATTCTGGAGTTGTAGAATTGAATATAACTGACATAATCCTATGCCAAAGTACAATTTCAAATACATTTCCCATTTTAATATCATAAAAAAGCCCGTTCTATAAGTAGTAAGGATTAGTAACCCTTACTAAATGTAGCTTGTATAATAACCATTTGCTAATTATACAAACACACAAAAGACTGCTTTATGTGTGTGGTTTAAATATATTAAAATAGATATTATTTATTAGGATATTATACTTCACATAATTACTTTCACATTATTTCAAAAATACTGGCAGCCTATGTTCGCAAGGCTGTGTTCAGTTAACTTTGGTGTTCCTGCTTGGTGCTGGGTGTCCTGGCGGGCATCATGTCCGCCTGGTGTCAAGTGCCCTGGCACCACGCCTGGCTGGTACTGGCCGCCCTGGCACCACGCCTGGCTGGTACTGGCGGCCTGGCACCATGCCTGGCTGGTACTGGCCACCCTGGCACCACGCCTGGCTGGTCCTGGCGGCCTGGCACCATGCCTGGCTGGTACTGGCCGCCCTGGCACCACGCCTGGCTGGTACTGGCGGCCTGGCACCATGTCTGGCTGGTACTGGCCGCCCTGGCACCACGCCTG